CAATGTCTCAAAAGCTATGGGTACTATGTCTTGATTTAAAACTCATATTTTATGATAAATTTTGTGTTTTTTACATTTAATTTAAAAATGGTAACGAATGTAGATCAATTCAGATGGTAGGGTACTATCTAGCATTCATGAGGCCCTGGATTTGATCCAACACATTCAATAAACCAGTTCCATTTGTGTAATTCCAGGACTCAGGAGATAGAGGTCATAAGATCAGAAGTTTAAGGTCAGTGTCAGCTACATAGCAAATTCATGTCCAGTCTAAAATCTTACCTAAAAGGATAACAATAATAAAAGTTGTTACCATGCCAGTATAGGCATGGCAATCTGTTGGAATTGCCAATTTACTGAGATCAGGGCATTCATTTGCTGTGTGGTACTGTCATCTGGAATTAGAATAATACATTGAGGTTCACAAACTGAGAAGCAGAAACTAGAAACATAAGCCAGTGAGCTGTGAAATGGTGGCATATTACCACATGCCCCATTGAGAATGCTTCTGCACCCTCTGCTCATGCAGATGGGACAGGATCAGAGTTGCAGAGCTGCTGAGGTGAAAGCTTTGGAGGAGATGGGTGTGTGTGGCTTTTATACATCTAGTGAAGATTTTTTAGGATTACATCGCTAGCATTACCAAAATTGATTACTTGATGACCACTAAAATTCCCATATTCTGTCCCAAGTATCAGCAGACGTTTCTTACTCAGTATGTTAGATTCTAAGTGAAGCTGTTTTCTGGGTCACAGAGCATCTGTCAGCTACCCTACTCAGCTGTTCAGTACAAATGCAGCCATTGTCACATGTGAATAACTGGATGTAGCTGTTTTCCAAAAGAATTTACTTAGAATGACAAGTGCCGGTCTATCAGTCCAATTTATGGACCTCAGAGTTCAGACCCTCATTTAAAAATGAAAGCAAAGAACAAGCAAAACAAACAAACAAGTGAAAACAAAGTCTACAGAGCCCTAGGAACTTGAGAAGATATAACTACTTGTCTAATTTTGGAAACAACATCAGGCAATTTGTTTTGCCATGTCAGCCTAAGCTTCATTTAATACATGGTCTAATCCACAAAAAAAAATGGGTTTGTCAAACAGTATTTAGCCCAGCCATTCTAAGTGACCTTACTATATCTATTAATTTCATTTCAATAAATATCTCTCGGAGTTACCTGTGTTATAGAGGTGGGGAAAGGAATCCTTTCATTGGAAAATTGTTAGCTGCAAAACTTCTTTACTTCTGGAAGTCTGAGGTTCTATACAGAAATAGTGGCAGCCCACCTCGGAACTGTCAGCAGTAGTTCTGAATAGCAGGTCATCACCATTTCCTCTTAGGCTGCCCTCATTAGAAGTAGCAACACTAAAGCCATGTACACCTATTGGTTATGAGAGCCCCTATAGGAGTCCATGGGAACCTGCACTTTTCCAGGGATACACACTCAGCCCTGCTGCACCGAGCAGGCAACCTGCCCTCATCTGATTTTCATCTCACTTTTCTTTTCCATTTCAAATCAGACTAAACATTAATATAAGAAGTTTTGATAATCACCCATGAACTTCATGCTTTTTAAAAGGTAGTGTAGCTCTCTTCCTGTAGTGTAACCATAGCAACTGGCCAGGAACAGAGAGAGAAAGCTTTCACACATGCTGGGCCAATTAATCCTGTCCTACAGTTTTTCTTCTGCTGGAAGATGCGGCTTAATAAATTTTGCATGAGTAAGCAGGTTTTGATTTGTGAATTTTACAAAAACATAGTGTTGTCTTTACCAAAAAGATTGGGGGAAATGACACTAGAAAATCATATTTTAAGGTATTCTTTTAAAAAAGAGCCATTGTCTAGTAATTTAGACTTTGCTGATAAAACATGGGGTTTATTTTGCTCATTAAAGAATAAAAATGTCCTAAGAGTGAACACATTTTGTTCATTGATGTATGGTACACCTTCAAAACGAACATCACCTCATGTAAGGCAATAGGAGACCTTTTTCCTCAGGAGATGGAGAAAACTGTATCCTGAAATTAAAGATCCTTATTTTCTATATGACATTTCATCGCACAAATCCTCTTTTTAAAGACCTCTTTTTTAAAAAATTGAAAATTCATCCTCGTTGATCTTTTGGAAGCTATTGTTGCCCAGCTGAATGAAGTTGTGACTCTCTTTGACCTAAGTATGTGAGAAAGGAGAAAGTATTGTAGACTAGGAACTTCTATTTGTATTTTCCACAAATACTTAAACCAACCTAGCAACTCACATTTAGTCTGCAATCACATGTAATGGTTTGATTTCCATTGTATTTAGGATATTCTGAAGTTTCATTCTTTTCCCAACTTAGACTACCACTTTCTACTTAATGACAAGCCTGATTGTCGGAACTGTCAAAGAAAATCTCACATTTTCCCATTTTGCTATCTCCGTTTGAGCTGTCTGACAATAAGGCCGCAGGAAAAGCAAGAAAATCTAGCGTGGATGCTCTGGCGTCCCATTTGACTTGACAGCCACATATGGGATGAGTCAGAGCCGATTTCCAGACCTGCCTTTAGCTCTTTGTTTTCCCTATGGAAATGAAATTGTTTGAGGACCAGACCTTTGATGGGGCTGCCAATTCCGCAGACACTTTCCCAGCCTCCTTGTCAGATTCATAGTACAGTTTTGTATGAAGTGAGAGTAATGAATGTGCTACAGAGAATCCGATTGGACATAGTTCTATTTGTATATAGAATATTAGGTGTAGTAAGTTGAGTATTGTTGTATATTTCTATACATTTTGTATATATCTATACATTTTTGTATATATGAGCCTTAACCATTTCCATATGTCATCACCTTATTGTGAAAACTATACTGTAAAAAATGGACTATAATGTTAATTCAATTAATTAACAATTCTTTGTCCTATCAGCTATGCCATTAATTTGAAAGTTTACCAATAACCCAGAAAATTAACAGCCATGGTTAAAAAAAGGAAGAAGTCATGTTCCTAAACACCTCTGATAATCTTAATATATCATTGAAATGAACATGTTTAAAGCAGGCTCACAACAGAAACCTTGTATTATATTATACTTCAGGTATAATACGGATAAGCGATCTTATATACTTGTGTTGACTTCTCACTTAACTGAAAAAGTGTCAGAGTTGTTCAACTTAGATGAAGGAGAGGTTTCTTTCTGCTCGTAGTCTCAGAAGTTTCAGTCAGTAATGGGTTGGCCCTGTTGTTTTGGGGCCTATGCTAATGGCAGAATATTACAGGCCAAAGCCCATAGTAGAACAGAGCTGTTTACCTTGTAGCTGTCAGGGAGCAAGGAGAGAAAGGCTATCACCCTGACATACCCTTCAAGAGCATGACCAGTGAGCCAACATCCTTCAGCTGGGCCTCATCTCCTGGACAGGTCCATCAACTCCCAGTACCACTGTGGGCCACTGTCTTTAACAAATGCACCATGAGGGAACATTTCAGGTCTAAAATAATATTGCATTAATCTTTAATGCCAGAGTAAGAAAATAACCTATTATGACTTGTTTTATTTTCAAGAACAGCGTTGTGAGATGGATGATCTTTAAAAGAAGTAAAAGGGTGAGGAGATGGCTCAGTGGTTTAGAATGTTTAGTGCTCCTGCAGGAGGACCGAGTTCAGTTCTCAGCACCCAGGTCAGGCAGCCAACTGCCTGTACCTCCACTCCAGGGAATTCAGTGCCCTCTTCAGGCTTCCAGAGGCACCCACGTGCATGCCCACAAAGCATGAGCATGTACATGTACGTACATACGTATGTGCATACACACACACACACACACACACACACACACACACAGAGTTAAAAATAAAAATACATGTTTTAAAAAAGGGATTAGGCTGGGGGCACAGCTTGTTGGTAATATGCTTTCTTCACATGCAGGGGCAGGGATATGTGATCGATCCTTCTTAGCACTACAAATAAACATTTTTGAAAAAGAATTAGTCATTACATACAACCTGAGGAAAACACTCAGAAAACCTTTCTGAACTGTGAGAGGGGCAGGGATGAAGATGGCTCAGCAGGCAGGAGCATGGTGTAACATACTGCTTTGCACAGGACCATGGTTGGCTCCAGTCCCCACATCAGCCAGCTCACAGACATGTGTGGCTCCTGCTCCAGGAGCTCTGACACCCTCTTTGGGCCTCCGTGGGCTCCCACATTCATGTGCATATGCTACCATAAAATGAATCCTCTTAAAATGGATAATCACACATTCCAGAGGTAAACCATGGACAACATACATGAATACATGTTTTGTTTTGTTTAGCAGTCTTGTATCTGTGTGTAAATATTTTCAGTTATTAGGTCAAATTGCATATTGTCTATTAAAGTAATGTTGCCAAGTTGCAGCTTGATATCAGCTTTCATCATCAGTATGTTCCAGTTTGATCATTACTTTATAATTATGTAACCCATTGGTTTTTCAGATAACCTTCTCCAGTGTGTATCCACGTGTGAGTTTTTGAGAAACACTCACACCATAAGAACCATTTGGGCAACACTTTGAGAAAAGTATTGCAGTTTCTCCTTACAGATTCAATACACATGTAAACACTGGTAGCACTGATCCTTTGTGTAGCTGGGAGTCTTTAGCCTTCTTAATTTATCTTTTCTGCAAGTTAGTTGGCTAAAGAGCCTTACTGATACGACTTACAAATTTGGAACTCTCAAACTAGAGTTCTGCAAAGCAAATGAAGTAACCAGGGGGATTGATTCTAAGGTAGTTCTGATTTTGTTTAGTGATGTTTTAATAGATCCATAGCACAAATGCTTTATTTTCAGTATGCATTATAATTATTAACATGTTAAAAGCATAGAGACTATATATGTTCTCTTCAAATATGTTAATCTTGGCATTGTATTAATGAATCTGAATTACAGTAGTGTTGTTTAACCTTCTAAAATGTAACATTTGGAATTAAATTGCATGTCCCCTTCATGCCCATTTAACCTCTTTACGTTTCCTGTAACCTACAGGTCTTGCAAGAGCAAAATCCGTCCCTAGCCACACGTACTCCAATGAAGTGGTTACCTTGTGGTACAGACCTCCTGATGTTCTCCTGGGCTCTACAGAATACTCCACCTGCCTTGACATGTGGTAAGAAGTGAACACTTTAACTAAACAGTGTGGCATGCTTGGTCTGTCCCAAACCTAGACAGACATCTGCCAGTCTGGAGGAAGATCAGTGGTGTAGGAATGTTGCCTGTGTGTGACAGTACTGTTGCCTCTTTAAACCTGATTGGGAATGGTACCTCATCAGAGTCTGCTCCAGTTGGAACCTTCTAAGAGTTCTTTTTTTATTTTTAAATTTAAATTTAAATTAGAAACAAGGTTGCTTCACATGTCAATTCTAGGTCCCTCTCCGTTTCCTTCCCCTCCTCCCATGCCCTCCCACCAACCCCCCAATATCCCCTCATTTCCCCAGGGAGGGTGAGGCCCTCCATGAGGGTGTCCATAGTCTGTCATTTCATCCAGGGCAGGGCTTAGACCCTCCCCCAAGAGTTCAGGGTGAGAGTGCCTCTCACATTGTTGGATGGGAGTCCAAAGTCCGTTTGTATACCTGGGATAAATACTGATCTACTGCCCAAGGCCCAATAGATAACCTAGGCCTCATCACTGACACCCACATTCAGGGGGTCTTAATCAGTTCCATGCTGGATTTCCAGGCATTAGCCTGGGATTCAAGAGATAACCCTTGATGGACAAGATCAGAGGCTTTTTTTCTGTCAGTACTTTAATGTTCTCTGTAAGGTCATAATTTATGGTTTTATTTTATAATGAGGAAGTGTGTATCTCCAAAGAGCAATAAAGTAAGAACTAACATGGAACGAGTTTATATTTACTACATAGCTCTGGTAATTGGTTTGATTGAAAGCTATTGATAAAGAAATGCCTTGAATGTTTAAAAATATGGAATAATCTCAGAATCATTTCATGCAGTATTTGGCCAGCTGTTAAAATCTTTTTTAGCGTAGTAGAATGGTTGGTAGTATTTTTTGCATACTCGTTAATACTGGCAAGCTACTCTGCATTCCCAATATTGTGAGATTTAAATGTCATAATCATCAAGGGGAATGAATCTGATTCTTAACACTCTGGTGAGAGTCACCCATGGCTGTTGAGCACAGCTTTTCCTTTTCTGGATTCACAACTGGGTCTGACGTGAAATCATTCATATAGCTTGTGGCTGTTTTCTAAAAGAGCCATCATTCTTGGGTGATTGTGCTCCTGTATTTAGAATTTAGCTACATGAGCATATAATGTTTATGGCCTCGGTAAAGCTTCAGTATGTATCATTTATCTTCCTCCTGTGTAGTTACTTCATGACTTTACCCTGAGCAAATCTTGGCTTAAAAAATTAGGAACTTTCTTAATGGGTGTTAAAATACCCCTAGCTGTGGGGTTTGGTGCTCTGTGGAACCACTAAAGTCATCTGCAGCATCTTATGTACATGTAGCTATCATCATAGAATCTAGATATATAGCTTTCAATAAAACTGTAAAAATATAGGCCATCAAACACCCGGAGATGTGTTGTCATAAATCTTTATGCCTTATCTTAAATCTAACCACATTTTAATGATATTCTAAAATCCCAAGAATAAATATCACCATCTATTGCTGAGTGGCTGAGCTAATCCATCTTTTCATCACACTTCCTGGCCCTGGCTTTTTAATGCTTATTTACTCTTTCTGTAGTTCATATTTTCCTCTAAGGATAGGCCTATCTTTGGGCAACGTAGATACTTAGATTCTTAATTATAATGGGGGAAAGTTAGAGATAGAGGCCAGTGCACGCACCAGGGTACCAGTTAGTTGTTCTTAATAATCATTTGCTACTTTCTGCTGTTAGTTAAGAGTTGGCTGTGCAAATAATAATTATATCACAGTCTTGGGTTACAAAGTATTTTTTCATTTATTTTTGCATATGGAAATTCTTAGTCATCTTTCGGTGAGTTCAGCTAAGTTCTCTACTAATAAAATGTGTTTTGAAATATTTGTGGGGTAGAGTCAGTTTTGTCTCAGTTGCTTGGCAGTTTAGTCAAGATTATATCCTCCTAACCACAAGGAATTGTTCTTCCTGTGCCTCCAGCTCAAGTTTGGCTGGCTAACTAAATAAATAAATAAATAAGTGTGCTCTAAGGACTAGGGCGATGGTTCAGTTATATATGCTTGCAAGTGTCATGACCTAAGTTTATCATGGTGGCACACACGTGTAATCCAGCACAGAGGATGAGGACAAGTGTCATGACCTAAGTTTATCATGGTGACACACACGTGTAATCCAGCACAGAGGATGAGGACAAGTGTCATGACCTAAGTTTGGCATAGTGGTACATATTTGTAACCCAGCAGAAAGGATGAGGAGACAGGCAGGCACTGGAGGTCAGCTTAGCCAAACCAGTGATTTCCAAATACAGGGAGAGACCTTGTCTCAATAATTAAGGTGGACATCAAGGACACCATTGACCCCTGGCCTCCCCATGATACGCATCAGTACCTCCACTCGTACATACAAATACTCCCATATATGTACAGCACACAGACAATAATGTTTGAGAGACTGGGGTTATTGCTTAGTTGAAGAACCTGAACTCATTCCCCCAAACCAATGTACAGTTGTGAATGTGCTGGGCAGGCAGATCCCTGAGTCTCTGTGTCTATCCAGTCTCGCCTACTTGGAGAGCTCCAAGCCAGTGAGATAACTGCCCTCCTCCCTCAAAGGTAGAGAGCTTCCTGAGAAACAACTCTCAAAGCTGACCTCTGGCCTCCATATGCATGCATGCATACACACACACACCAGCACACATATGCATATATACACATATGTGCATGTATACACACACACACACACACACACACACACACACACACACAGTGGCTCTGACTTTCATTTTCTAATCTGCCCTATTTCACCTCACTCCATGTTTTGGGCACTTGCTGTCAATTTACTTTGAACAGAGACACAATAGAAGCATACGAAGAAGCCTATTATTTAAGAGGAAGGGGGAAATCCGGTAGAAAATAATGAACCCCAAATGCCCTTTTGTCCCCATGCCAAGATTTTTCGTTGCCAGAAGCAAGTAGCAAATGTGCTAGGTTTGAGCAGCTTCATGCTTATTTTCAGTTCACATCTAAGCCCAAAATCTAGGCTGTGTCTATGCTATGCCTGTCACTCTGAATCTGATTTCATTCTGCACAATTTTCTAAAAGTTGTCTTGCTATTTTTCAGTCAGGTAAAAATGCATGTGTCTTTCCCATGAGAGGGACGTTCACAGGGCACTGAATTTTTTTTTTTGCATAATCAATGGTGTCGATGCAGGACATTCACACACCTGGAAATGGGATTGTAATTGAGTCACGGCTCAGCTGCACCAAAAAGAAATACAAATATTAACTCAGGGACAGCAGCAGGGAGGCAGGTGGCAGGAGTTTCAGGCTATTTTTACAGTTCGTTTACCGTCCTGGGGCTGAAGTAACTAAAAACTGATGATCCCTATACAGTGTTAAATAGCCACAGGCACTAAAAATATTAATGAAGACACATATGCAATAACACTGTCAGCGTGTGATGGAAATCAGAGCTGGCACTGTTAGGCGCTTCTCGTGTGGGTCGCCAGCACCATGGCGACGTGTGACTAAGCAGGGTAACTTAAGAACTCATCAAGGTAGTTTTTATACCTCTGTTTACTTCATATATGAAGATCGAATTGAACATTGCCTCTTGTAAAATGTCTGTTAATGCCTGGGCTTTGTAGCTCCTTGAAAGTCAAAGCATGGAAAAGCATTGCTAAGCTTGCAAACCACAGGGACTTAGGCGTGTGCAGAGCACAGGCAGGGGAGCATGGATGTGAAGGCAGCCTGTCTGTGTAGCTCTTCACTGGCTGGAGAGCACTGCTCTCTCTGCAGAGCTGGGGTTTTAAGCAAGCTTCTGTTCCTCTCCACATGCTCAGAGATGCATGCTCAGAGCTGTGCTTGGAGCTGTACATACTCGCTAAAACAGAACGCTGTTGGGGATTATTTTACAGGATTAATTTTTAATATCAGGTAGCTAAACTATCTGTGGTTAATAAGTGATTATCTCATCAAAGGCATTGTGCATTAGAGGGGGGCCCGTAGTGCCCCAACGGTAGTGCCCCCCAACACAGTGTGCAAAGAATGATGGTGTGTCAGGCGCTTCCTATCATCATCTTCTAAAGCTAATTAACATATTAACTGTACTTGTCAAAATGTGGGGCAGATCATTTATAAATAAGCCTGTCAAACATAATGAGATTGCATATTAAATCACCCTGTCTCTATTACATCTCTGATTTAAGATTAAAATTAATTTATTTAATGTGGTAGCAGCTGGGTGGTTAAAGAAAAAAATCTGTGCTAGTCATAATGTATAGGAAAACGTCTGTATCAGAACTGATTTTTAATGTATTAGAAAGAATATTGCCTAATTATGAAGTATCATAAAGCCATTTGGCTCTGATTCATATTACATAACTTATTGGCCATTCATATTGGCAATATTGTGTTCTGCCATTATCTTTACTGATTTATGTCCTGAAACACAGCAGTTTATACAATGAAATTTCTTAAGACTTGGGTTTACATCCCATTGTTAAGAGAAAGAACCATAAATGAACCTTCCTACACCTGCTACCCTGAGCGTAAATTTATATTCTATGTGAAGTCTATGTTAATTTGAAAACTTGGATGTTAATAATAGTAATAGTAGGTACTTTTATTGACCATAAACGGTATCTAATCTCTGCTATGCTTTTAAATTACTTCCCTATTATACAACAAAATAAGCAACATTCAGGAATATAAGCATGTCAGATGGTGAGAAAAATTGCAATATTCAGTATAGAATCATATTCTGAGTGCCCCTTCCTTGACTCATTCTGTACTGTCTCATAAGATCATTTGCAAGAAACTGGTCTTGTTTTACTAATAATGTAGCTCTGTAACACTAACAAAATACTTGATAATATATCATGCTTCTGTTCGTGTTCGGTCTTTTGTGTAGCTCAGGTATTTTGGGTGGCTCTGGTTCTCACTCTCGAGCTTGTACTGTCTGTCTCTCCTGACAGCTTTATTCCA